TTAGATGTCGCCATGGTTTAATTGCACATAACATGTAAACATTCACAGTGCAGGGAGGAAAAAGTATGTGAGGCTGGGAGGCTTAATGACTTCTCCCAGAGCTAATTGGAGCCAGGAGTGAGCCAACCTTGACTCCAATCAGTGTGATGATATTGGATGTGTTGCTGACAGCTGTCCTGCCCTTAAAAAACACACACCTGTTTTCGGGTTTACTGGTTTCAAGAAGCACTGTCTGATGTGAACCATGCCTCGCAGAAAAGAGCTCTCAGAAGACCTACGATCAATAATTGTTGACTTGCATGAAGCTGGAAAGGGTTACAAAAGTATCTCCAAAAGCCTTGATGTTCATGTGTCCACGGTAAGACAGACTGTCTACAAATGGAGAAAGTTTAGCACTGTTGCTACTCTCCCTAGGCGTGGTCGCCCTGTAAAAATGACTGCAAGAGCACAGCGCAGAATGCTGCATGAGGTGAAGAAGAATCCCAGAGTGTCAGCTAAAGACCTACAGAAATCTCTGGCACATGCTAACATTTTTGTTGACACATCTACAATAAGGAAAACATTAAACAATAATGGAGTACATGGGAGGACACCACGGAGGAAGCCATTGCTGTCCAAAAAGAATATTGCAGCACGTTTGAAGTTTACAAAAGAGCACCTGGATGTTCCATAGCACTACTGGCAAAATATACTTTGGACAGATGAAACCAAGATTGAGTTGTTTGGGAAGAACACACAACACTATGTGTGGAGAAAAAAAAGGCACAGCACACCAACATCAAAAACCTCATTCCCACTGTGAAACATGGTGGAGGGAGCATCATGGTTTGGGACTGCTTTGCTGCCTCAGGGCCTGGACGGATTGTTGTCATTGATGGGAAAATGAATTCCAGAGTTTATCAAGACATTTTGCAGGAAAACGTACGACCATCTGTCCGCCAACTGAAGCTCCGCAGAGGATGGGTGATGCAACAGGATAATGACCAAAAACATACAAGTAATTCAACAAAACAATGACTGCAACAGCACAGAATACGCCTTCTGGAGTGGCCCAGTCAGAGTCCTGACCTCAACCCGATTGAAATGCTGTGGCATGACCTTAAGAGAGCGATTCACACCAGACATCCCAAGAATATTGCTACACTGAAACAGTTTTGTGAAGAGGAGTGGTCCAAAATTACTCCAGATCGTTGTGCAGGTCTGATCTGCAACTACAGGAAACGTTTGGTTGAGGTTATTGCTGCAAAAGGAGGGTCAACCAGTTATTAAGTCCAAAGGTTCACATACTTTTTCCTCCCTGCACTGTGAATGTTTACATGTTATGTGCAATTAAACCATGGCAACATCTAATGTTTGTGTAGTATTATGTTCAGCAGACTGTGTTCTTCTATTGTTGTGACTTAGATGACGTTCAGAGCACATTTTATGCCCAATTCATGCAAAACTCCACGTAATCTCAAGGGGTTCACATACTTTTTCTTGCAACTGTGTATATATATATATATATATATGTATGTATGTATGTGTGTATATATATATATGTATGTATATGTGTGTATGTATGTATGTATGTATGTGTATATATATATATATATATATATATATATATATATATATGTATGTGTGTGTGTGTGTGTGTGTGTGTGTGTGTGTGTGTGTGTGTGTGTGTGTGTGTGTGTGTGTATCTATATATGTGTATATATATACAGTCAGGTCCATAAATATTGGGACATTGACACAATTCTAACATTTTTGGCTCTATACACCACCACAATGGATTTGAAATGAAACAAACAAGATGTGCTTTAACTGCAGACTGTCAGCTTTAATTTGAGGGTATTTACATCCAAAAGGTGAACGGTATAGGAATTACAACAGTTTGCATATGTGCCTCCCACTTGTTAAGGTACCAAAAGTAATGGGACAATTGGCTTCTCAGCTGTTCCATGGCCAGTGTGTGTGTTATTCCCTCATTATCCCAATTGCAATGAGCAGATAAAAGGTCCAGAGTTCATTTCAAATGTGCTGTTTGCATTGGAATCTGTTGCTGTCAACTCTCAAGATGAGATCCAAAGAGCTGTCACTATCAGTGAAGCAAGCCATCATTAGGCTGAAAAAAGAAAACAAACCCATCAGAGAGATAGCAAAAACATTAGGCGTGGCCAAAACAACTGTTTGGAACATTCTTAAAAAGGAGGAACGCACCGGTGAGCTCAGCAACACCAAAAGACCCGGAAGACCACGGAAAACAACTGTGGTGGATGACCGAAGAATTCTTTCCCTGGTGAAGAAAACACCCTTCGCAACAGTTGGCCAGATCAAGAACACTCTCCAGGAGGTAGGTGTATGTGTGTCAAAGTCACCGATCAAGAGAAGACTTCACTAGAGTGAATACAGAGGGTTCACCACAAGATGGAAACCATTGGTGAGCCTCAAAAACAGGAAGGCCAGATTAGAGTTTGCCAAACGACATCTAAAAAAGCCTTCACAGTTCTGGAACAACATCCTATTGACAGATGAGACCAAGATCAACTTGTACCAGAGTGATGGGAAGAGTAGAGTATGGAGAAGGAAAGGAACGGCTCATGATCCTAAGCATACCACCTCATCAGTGAAGCATGGTGGTGGTAGTGTCATGGCGTGGGCATGTATGGCTGCCAATGGAACTGGTTCTCTTGTATTTATTGATAATGTGACTGCTGACAAAAGCAACAGGATGAATTCTGAAGTGTTTTGGGCAATATTATCTGCTCATATTCAGCCCAATGCTTCAGAACTCATTGGACGCCGCTTCACAGTGCAGATGGACAATGACCCAAAGCATACTGCAAAAGCAACCAAAGAGTTTTTTAAGGGAAAGAAGTGGAATGTTATGCAATGGCCAGGTCAATCACCTGACCTGAATCCGATTGAGCATGCATTTCACTTGCTGAAGACAAAACTGAAGGGAAAATGCCCCAAGAACAAGCAGGAACTGAAGACAGTTGCAGTAGAGGCCTGGCAGAGCATCACCAGGAATGAAACCCAGCGTCTGGTGATGTCTATGCGTTCCAGACTTTAGGCTGTAATTGACTGCAAAGGATTTGCAACCAAGTATTAAAAAGTGAAAGTTTGATTTATGATTATTATTCTGTCCCATTACTTTTGGCCCCTTAACAAGTGGGAGGCACATATACAAACTGTTGTAATTCCTACACCGTTCACCTGATTTGGATGTAAATACCCTCAAATTAAATCTGACAGTCTGCAGTTAAAGCACATCTTGTTCGTTTCATTTCAAATCCATTGTGGTGGTGTATAGAGCCAAAAATGTTAGAATTGTGTCGATGTCCCAATATTTATGGACCTGACTGTATGTGTGTGTGTGTGTGTGTGTGTGTGTGTGTGTGTGTGTATATATATATGTATGTATATATATATGTATGTGTGTGTATATATATATATATATATATATAATATATATATATATATATATATATGTATGTGTGTGTGTATATATCCATTTTATAGATGCTATAACTTTCACATAAACCAATTCATTTACATGTATTGGGATTTTTTTTTCTAAGCAAAGACATGTAGAGGAATAAATTTTGGCCTAAATTTTGATTTTTTTTTTTTTTTTTTTTTTTTATTTATTTATTTTATTGGACATGTTTTAATAGCAAAAAGTCAGAAATATTTTTTTTATTTTTTTTTTATTTTGTGGACTTTTTTTGTTTATAGTGCAAAAGAATAAAAACTGCATAGGTGATCAAATACCACTGAAAGAAAGCTGTATTTGTGGGGAAAACAAGGACATGCATATCATTTGGGTGCAGCATTGCATGACCACGCAATTGTCAGTTAAAGTAACGCAGTGCAAAAATTGGGCTGGTCAGGAAGGGGGTAAATCCTCTGGAGAGTGGTTAATTTACAGCTACATGTGAACAAAAATGCATTTGCTTCTGGGACTTTCTACGCATCAGCAGCACCATCTGCTGGCCATCAGTGTTGCAAGACCATTTGGTGGGGGGGTACAGACTGCAAAAAAAAAAGGTAGCAGGTAGCATTTCTTGTGGGTAGCAAGATCACAGCCTGCATCATTCAAGCTCTAGCTGGTCTGTAGGCTGGTATCAGAGGGGTTAGTATGCTAAAACACGTGTGGAAATAATAATCCACATTCCGGTCAGTGGAAATAGTAGTGAGTAGCACAGGCAGCACTTTTACCTTATCTCTAGCCAGAGTTGTGCATAGACAATTGCAATACAAGCTGGAACAGTCTGAACCAATCAGTATAAACCATGAAGGATTTTGTCAGTGAAGGCATGAGTTTTTATATTTTATTTTATCTATTTTTTATAATTTACTTGAAAATTTTACTAGCATCTTAAATGTGTTGGTATGTTTTTCCATTTGTGCTGTTGAAGTGTATGAAACCTTCACCTAGTAAAACAACCCATTCAGTTTAAAATCAAATGAAAAAGACAAAACATATATAGATATAAAAACAAATACTTCTTTTTTTTTTTTTTTATAAGTGATCACATTCCCTCTGTTCTCTGCTGCATAAAGAGCTGGGGGAGGAGAAACAGTAGGACATTGATTTTCCCAGTGAATGGCTGTGCAGGTTGGGGGGGCTGTCTGCATGAGTCTGATCTTTGGATTAGCACCCAGCACAGCCGGACTACTGACCACATTGTGCTCTCATGCCTAGAGTTGTCAGTTTTTAATACAAAAGCAGAGGGATTGGCAGGAACACCAGGGATTTCATACAAACGAAGCCATACAAAGAGAACATGATCCTTTTTCATACAAGTACATGGTACAGCAAGCACATATCAGCAATATGTTGGGTTTACATATGTAACTTTTTTTATTTATTCCAATACCACAAAGACCCTGAGTTTTCAGACTATTTTCTTTTTAATGGGCTATGTTTACTTTCAAAATATTTAACCACAATTTGACCTTTTTTTGTGTGTGTTTTTTTTGTTTTTTTTTTGTCTTTTTAATTTAAGCTGGCGAAGAGAAGCATTAAACTGCACGATGAAAGAAAACCATTGTCAAGATATAAACGTGAGTGGATTATTCCACCAGTTTCAATTCGAGAGGAACAGGACAATTCTTACAAAAATCCCATTGCAAGGGTAAGCATACTGGCATTGCACAAATCAATATTCTGCAACCTGCTTTTATGATTGAACAGTGTTTCCTTAACTCGTCCTCCTCTAGTTTACAGGTTTCAGATATCCACACAAGTAACAACTGAGACCAAATGCCTCCATTCTTAAAGTGTTACTAAACCCAGGACCCTGCATTCATTATATCTGGTCTCCCACAGTACACACAACATGAGCAGTGTTAAAGCTTGTAGGAGGAGTTTTCTTTCTGCTCTAGGAGAATGTGAAACCCCTGATCCTCTGTCTGGCCCTGTTAACATGCACTCTCCAAAGCAAAAAAAAAAAACCTCTCTAGTAATACACACCAAACTGAGCATGTGTATGACTATGGATTTAGTCTGTATCAGGTAGTCATTTCAACAAGAGGAGGGGCAGAGAAGAAAGTATCAAACAGACTTTTTATACAATGCAGAGGATTAACCCCTTAGGTTCCACATGGAGTATAACGAGCATGCTTTACTGCATATACAGACTGATTTTACTGTTGTGGGTTTAGTAACACTTTAAGCTGGCCATACACTGATCAAAATTGTTTTAGTGTTTTGGCTGTTGTCCCCGCTAGACAGAATGCTGTGAGAATTAAAAAAAAAAAATCAGTGGCCAGCCTTACATACAGTGAGGAACAGTAGTATTTGAACACCCTGCGATTTTGCAAGTTCTCCCACTTAGAAATCATGGAGGGGTCTGAAATTCACATTGTAGGTGCATTCCCACTCTGAGAGACAGAATAAAAAAAAAAAAATCAGGAAATCGCATTGTATGATTTTTAAAGAATTTTATTTGTCTTGCACTGCTGAACATAAGTATTTGAACACCTAAGAAACAGCGAGATTTCTGGCTCTCAATGACCTGTTACTGTGCCTTTTTAAAAAGTCCACCTCTACTCCACTCATTAATCTAACTTTGTAGCACCTGTCTGAGCTCTTTAAAGACACCTGTCCACCCCACAGTCAGTCAGACGCCAACTACTACCCCATCTTGCCCATGCAAGACCAAAGACCTGTCAAAAGACACCAGAGACAAAATTGTGGACCTCCACAAGGCTGGAAAGGGCTACGGGGAAATTGCCAAGCAGCTTGGTGAAAATAGATCAACTGTTGGAGCAATTGTTAGAAAATGGAAGAGGCTAAAGACGCCTGTCAGTCTCCCTTGGACTGGGGCTCCATGCAAGATCTCACCTCGTGGGGTATCACTGATAAGAAAGGTGAGGAATCAGCCCAGAACTACAAGGGAGGAGCTGGTCAATGACATGAAGAGAGCTGGGACCACAGTTTCAAAGGTCACTGTCGGTAGAACACTACGTCGTCGGCATGGCTTCAAATCATGCTTTGCACGGAAGGTTTCCCTGCTCAAGTCATCACATGTCCAGGCCCGTCTGAAATTTGCCAATGACCATCTGGATGATCCAGAGAAGGCATGGGAGAAAGTCATGTGGTCAGATGAGACCAAAGTAGAACTTTTTGGTCTAAACTTCACTCTTCGTGTTTGGAGGAAAAAGGATGAGTTGCATCCCAAGAACACCATCCCTACTGTGAAACATAAGGGAGGTGTGGTAACATAATGCTTTGGGGGTGCTTTTCTGCCAAGGGGACAAGACTGCACTGTATTAAGGAGAGGATGAATGGGGCCATTTATTGTGAGATTTTGAGCAACAACCTCTTCCCTCAGTCAGAGCATTGAAGATGGATCGTGGCTGGGTCTTCCAACATGACAACGACCCGAAGCACATAGCCAGGATAACCAAGGAGTGGCTCTGTAAGAAGCATATCAAGTTTCTGGAGTGGCCTAGCCAGTCTCCAGACCTAAATCCAATAGAACATCTTTGGAGAGAGCTGAAACTCCATGTTGCTCAGCGACAGCCCCGAAACCTGACAGATCTAGAAGAGATCTTTGTGGAGGAGTGGGCCAAAATCCCTGTTGCAGTGTATGCAAACCTGGTCAAGAACTACAGGAAACGTTTGACCTCTGTAATTGCAAGCAAAGGCTTCTGTACCAAATATTAACACTGATTTTCTCAGGTGTTCAAATACTTATGTTCAGCAGTGCAAGACAAATTCTTTAAAAATCATACAATGTGATTTCCTGAAATTCTTTTTTAAATTCTGTCTCTCGGAGTGGGAATGCACCTACAATGTGAATTTCAGACCCCTCCATGATTTCTAAGTGGGAGAACTTGCAAAATCGCAGGGTGTTCAAATACTACTGTTCCTCACTGTATGTGGTATAAACTGCAAAAGATGCACTGTTGCTGAGACTTTAGGGCAGGTTTGGGAAACATAAATTGGAACTGCACTGCATCTGAGCACCACAAACAAACACTATTTAATTCATTTTTAATATTCAAAGCAAACTCCCCTATCCATCCATGTCTTCATGCTTTATTTTGCTGATAAAGCACTTTGAAAAACAGCCCCCTAGCATTTCTGGCCATTGTCATCTTGAGTAAGAGCAGATGATTCATGTAGCATTTACTTCCTGGAATCTTTTTGCCATTTTGGCTCAGGAATCCCAACAGGAGTGCGTGCTTAGCTGAGAAAACCCATCCCCCTCTTCTGCAGACTGGGAGGTATGACATTATTTGCCTAGGCATGGAAACCATGAAGTAACTGAAGAAATGTATAGAAAGAAGTTTAAAACAGGAAAGTATATTACATTTACTTATCTGTTTACTAATGCTAGCAGCATAAGGATTAAAAATAGTCAATGCTGATTAAGAGAATAGTTTTCATATTTTAAACAAATATTTCCCTGGCTTTTTTTCTAGTAGTTTATTTTGTGTACAATATTGATATTCTAGCACAGTCTTAACAGTATTTGTCATAAATCTTTCCCATGCCATATAGTCCCATTTTTGTGAAGTTTTTCGCGACTCTGTCTTTGACTATTCTTTTACACAATACTAGATCCAATCTGATGTTAAGATGGACGTAAGAAAGAGAATTCGCTACAGCATTGTTGGTAGAGGCGTGACAGAACCACCACTTGGCTTATTCATAATTGATGAAAGGACAGGGGACTTGAATGTAACTGGAATTGTGGACAGGGAAGACATTGACATGTTCTTTGTAAGTTTTTTTTTCCATTTCTAATGCCTTTTATAGACCTCAGTTAAAGCCTCAAATTACTGCAGTCTGCAAAATGTAAACATTAATCACATTTATCAGTGTTGTTAATTGTATACTTGTTTGTATGTATGTAATTTTTTAGTTTTTTTACTCCCAATGCCCTAAACAACATCTTAAAGCAATGTAGGTCAATATCTAATTATCAACCATAATTCAGATTTATGCAGAATATTTTGATAGAAGTATAAAGTGGATGAGAGACTGGCAAACATCGCAATTTGCAAAAATAGCAAATTTTGGGTGCATTTATTGGTGAAATTAGGCAAAACACTAAACCAGCAATGACTTCGCTCTGCTGACTTTTATAAGCAAAATATCCTGCAGTATATTATAAATGTGCTTGTGTACAACTTAAATGAATTCTGTAATTTTTACATTGATAGCTTCCAGTTGATTGTTACCAACTTGAGAACATAAAATAGAATATTGTACACAAGCTTTGGAAGCATTTAAAGTCCCACTCCAATCATTGTCACCTCCCACACCTTTTATGTGATTGGTAAAACGAATATTCAGACAAGGAAAAAAAATCCTTGTCTGAATACCTGTTTTTACTTATCAACCTGCAGTTGTATGACTCCACAGTCCCAAGTCTGCTCTTCTGTTTACTTCCGTTTGGGTTCCTTTTTAGGTGTCAACATCAGTCTTCATGATGTGGACACTTGCTATTGGATAGTCCCTGGTGGGCTCTCTCAAAGGAGAAAGAAGAGGACTGATATCACAAGGGGATGGTAGGGGACTGGTGGTCTCAGGGCACTGCCACAGCTCTGGCTCAGAGGTTTACCCCCCCTTTCCCATAGTGGAACCAGCAGCGGTGGTGGCCGGGGACCTGGATGTTTGTAATAAGGAAAAATAAAATATTGCATTGGAATATTCCATATGATTAAAGTGTTTATATAGAACCGCAGTTTATAAAGTTGCAATTTCTAATAAAAAAGGCCCATTTTTCAAATGGTGTTACAATATATTTGCTTATTAGGAGATTAAGGTCCATTTGAACAAACCATGTGTACAATTTTCCAACCTGAGATCATCGATTCACTATACAATCTTTTAATCTGTATTTTGTTTTTTTCTCAGTTGAAAGGTTATGCCAAGGATGAGACTGGAAAAGATGTTGAACCTCCTATAGAACTTCGAGTTAGTGTTGAGGATATTAACGATAACAGTCCAGTGTTTATCAGCGATGTTTTTGTTTGTTCAGTTGAAGAAATGTCTGAAACAAGTACGTGTATTATTTTAATATCTGTAAGAGCAACTACATGAAAAATTGATTGCTCCTTTTTGAGCAGAATGGGCAGATTTTGATCCTCGATTGCCTCTAGATTTTTTTGTTGCTTGGAGTGGGCTGGCGATTATTCTCTCCTTGTCTTTGCTGTGATGGGAGTTTTTTTTCAGTAAACTGTACTCTTTATGAGCCTAAGTAAATTAACTTATTGAGCATGGTCTTTTTTTAGCCTTATCATGGTGGGCTGGGGAGATCTCCATGCCAGGGTCTTGGACCTTCTGGTAGGGACTGAACATACAGTTGCAGGAAAAAGTATGTGAACCCCTTGGGATTACGTGGAGTTTTGCATGAATTGGGCATAAAATGTGCTCTGAACGTCATCTAAGTCACAACAATAGAAGAACACAGACTGCTGAACATAATACTACACAAACATTAGATGTTGCCATGGTTTAATTGCACATAACATGTAAACATTCATAGTGCAGGGAGGAAAAAGTATGTGAGGTCCTAGCTTAATGACTTCTCCCAGAGCTAATTGGAGCCAGGAGTGTTCCAACCTTGACTCCAATCAGTGTGATGATATTGGATGTGTTGCTGACAGCTGTCCTGCCCTTAAAAAACACACACCTGTTTTGGGTTTACTGGTTTCAAGAAGCACTGTCTGATGTGAACCATGCCTCGCAGAAAAGAGCTCTCAGAAGACCTACGATCAAGAATTGTTGACTTGCATGAAGCTGGAAAGGGTTACAAAAGTATCTCCAAAAGCCTTGATGTTCATGTGTCCACGGTAAGACAGACTGTCTACAAATGGAGAAAGTTTAGCACTGTTGCTACTCTCCCTAGACGTGGTCATCCTGTAAAAAATTACTGCAAGAGCACAGCGCAGAATGCTGCATGAGGTAAAGAAGAATCCCAGAGTGTCAGCTAAAGACCTACAGAAATCTCTGGCACATGCTAACATTTTTGTTGACACATCTACAATAAGGAAAACATTAAACAAGAATGGAGTACATGGGAGGACACCAAGGAGGAAGCCATTGCTGTCCAAAAAGAATATTGCAGCACGTTTGAAGTTTGCAAAAGAGCACCTGGATGTTCCACAGCACTACTGGCAAAATATACTGTGGACAGATGAAACCAAGATTGAGTTGTTTGGGAAGAACACACAACACTATGTGTGGAGAAAAAAAGGCACAGCATACCAACATCAAAACCTCATCCCCACTGTGAAACATGGCGGAGGGAGCATCATGGTTTGGGGCTGCTTTGCTGCCTCAGGGCCTGGACGGATTGTTGTCATTGATGGGAAAATGAATTCCAGTGTTTATCAAGACATTTTGCAGGAAAACGTACAACCATCTGTCCGCCAACTGAAGCTCCGCAGAGGATGGGTGATGCAACAGGACAATGACCCAAAGCATACAAGTAATTCAACAAAACAATGGCTGCAACAGCACAGAATACGCCTTCTGAGTGGCCCATTCAGAGTCCTGACCTCAACCCGATTGAAATGCTGTGGCATGACCTTAAGAGAGCGATTCACACCAGACATCCCAAGAATATTGCTACACTGAAACAGTTTTGTGAAGAGGAGTGGTCCAAAATGACTCCAGATCGTTGTGCAGGTCTGATCTGCAACTACAAGAAACGTTTGGTTGAGGTTATTGCTGCCAAAGGAGGGTCAACCAGTTATTAAGTCCAAAGGTTCACATATTTTTTCCTCCCTGCACTGTGAATGTTTACATGTTATGTGCAATTAAACCATGGCAACATCTAATGTTTGTGTAGTATTATGTTCAGCAGACTGTGTTCTTCTATTGTTGTGACTTAGATGACGTTCAGAGCACATTTTATGCCCAATTCATGCAAAACTCCACATAATCCCAAGGGGTTCACATACTTTTTCTTGCAACTGTAGCTTTTCTACTTGTTTTGTCATGCTAGAATATAGAATTAACGGTGTAGCGGAGTTCTTCTTAATGATGTCCATGTAAATTGGCACACAAAATAATAAAACTAAATGACACCTTTTTAAGAACCTACAGTAGGTTGAGTAATATTTGCTTTCTATGCTGAAAATCAGTTTCTGCATAATGTATTTTTATAAAATTTAGGAATTTCGCCTTTAAAAAAAAAAAAAGATAAAATATGGACATACTTTTGCAGGGGGGGGGGGGATATGCATTATGCAATCAGTAGATTGGGGGTGCAATGTCGGGCTCCTGCTGAATCTCAGTATTGCTGTTTCCCCGTACCTCCCATATGGACAGAAAGTTACTAGAGAGCAGGAAGATCTATGAACTACGAGAGCACTCACCAGCACCTTTGCAGTTCATTGAGAACTATAAGCCATCTGACTGGTGGCAGATGGTAGTTGTAGTGCATTCATTCACAGATATCTGTGAATAAATGACCTGGATGTTTGTGACAGCTGAGAGAAGATCCCTTGCCTGCTGTCACAGCGGGGGATTGGAGGGGCACAGGCAGATGCTCCTTGGTAACAGGTTTACCCTAAATACGGTGAATTACCCTTTTAGTGCAGCATTACATTGTCTACACATTATGCTAAATCCCTAATAATGGCTCCTGGTTGGTTTACAATGTGACATTAATATTGGGAAGACATCCATTCTTGGCTGCAGTACCTGATCTCCAACCAGGTAAATATGTAGTTGAAATGCAAGCATGTAAAAGGAAATGTTTTTTTGAGAGAAGCAATGCGGCTTACCTACTGTAAATACCTGTTGCCTGGCTGTCTTGTTGACCAACTTTTGTATTTCATATAAGGATCTTCTGACTCTTTTTCTCATTCCTGATCTCCATACTTGTGCTGGGTCAGTGAATGAAAGTATTGGGTTGTCATAACAGCAAGGCAAATATTTTTTAAAGAGAAGGGCAGCAATGGCAGCACACACATATGACTTATGAAAGTTTTACTTTATCGGTTTTAATTGACAAACCGTTTTGATTCTGCTAGGCCCTATTTTTTTTTATTCACACCCACACACATTTACCACTCTGCATACCTGGGAAGGTGATATGACTTTCTATGCTTCAGTAAAAGGAATGGCTACTGATGGTACAAGAGTACATTGGCAAGGAGTACTGAGAAATGCAGAAGAGCCTTTTTTGGCTGACAGTGCTGGTTGTCCTTTTTTGCATTTACATTTTCACAAAGAATGCACAATTGCGCTAATTTGTATGGGGTAGTGCTTTATAACATTTGCCTGGAATGGAGCTTTAACGTGCATCTTAAACAGACATGGTTACTATTATTTAGAGTATGTCACTTCAAAACATGGGCAGTTACTCCATCTGCAGGGATTGTGGCTGTGTTCCTACTTTAACATTATTCTCAAGATATGCAAGCGGAGTCTAAAATATATATTTGTTTAATATTTTTTTTCTTTAACCAGGCACGCTCATTATGGTTCTAAATGCCACGGATGCAGATAAGCCTAACACCCTAAATACCAAGCTTGCGTACAAAATCCTTTCCCAAGTGCCAGGAGACAAACTCCTTTTCATGTTGACAAAGGATGGTGAAGTTCGCACCACATCAACAAAAATTGACAGAGAGGTAATAGTTTTTTTAATCGGCATAGATTTTTAAAGCTGTACTCTAAGCAAACCTGCTAAATACAGTTAGTGGTTTTAAACCTCAGACATGAAATATGAACAAAGCCTGTCCCACTATAGTGTGTACTTGTCTTAATCCAGAGTACTAAGTGTTATTACTGTTCGCCGCCTCGTTCCTCTGCTATAAACATGAGTCCCTTTTTGAGTTTTCCTGACACCAAGAGATAAATGGTGACGGGAGGCCACAACCTGTGATCGTGAGCTTCAACTCTGTTCCTGTGTGCTGAGTGAAGGGGGGGTGTATCCCTTGACTCCAATCACTTCTCAGAGCTCTCCTCACTGATGTATCGTGTTCTTCCCGCCCCTTTCTTTTCAGAGCTGAGAGATTTTTTTTTCTAAATTTTGCACATTTAATGGATATATGGGAAAGACCACTGTAAATAAACAGGTACAACTTATGTAGGATGATTTGTTTCATATTTGTATCACCTGAGGCCAGTCACTTTGCTGGGTATATGTAAGGGCTTACATCCACTTTAACATACGAATTTGTTTTCCTGCCAAAGGTTTTGTAATTCTGCTTATCCAATCTTGTAATCAAGGCACTGCTGCCAGACAACACAGCCAGCTCCTAGATCTTGTTGCATACTGCGCTGCAGTTTAGCAATATAGCTTGGTCCAGCCTACCTTGTAATTGGACAGTGATGGAGCAGTAGCAAATGGCTGAGGTCATGTACAGTTAACCATTATACAAAGTAGTAGAGTGCTGACAGGCTAAGAGTATTTCTATTGCAATCTGAGTGCTGCTGTGCAGGGAATTATAGGAGCTGATGTTAGTATTATCTTAAATACCATAATTTGGTATTGTCTGTTTCATAGTTTTCAGACTATAGATCATGAGTGCAAATTATTGCATGTAAATTCTGTTTGATTTTAAATTTAGTAGTACTCCACTTGGTTTCATAGACCCTTTTGGAAAGGATGCAAAGAATGAATAAGATTCTTCATCCACAAATTTTGAGCAACACGGCATGACCATCATGTATGGTAAAACATACCTGGTTCTGAGCCACTACAAAAGCAGTTAGACGGGCAGCTTGGTGTTGTACAAACTAAAAGGCTTGGCACCATGTGCCATCTAAGGAATAGCTAAAGCGTTTTGAGAACTGTACTTAGTAGTGTCCCAAATTTTTTGATTTTATCTTAAGGTTCTAATTCAACCATTTGTGCATACAATATAGTTATGAAGTGACATTGTAAAATTAATCACCTACATGGATCAAAATTTGGCTAGTTCACCATGGACTGAAATGCAGCCAGTCCCTGTGTGGCCACTGTGGTTGAACACTGACCGGCATCTTTTCAACCACTGTATCTGTATTTTAACGCCAATCAGCACAGCAGGCCTTAAACTGCAGCACTGATTGATATATTCTGACAGCGGGGAAGTCTCCCTGCTGTCAGAATACGACAGAGGAGGATTCCACCCATCCACCCTGAATATGTGGATTGGGAGGATCTGGTCAATTATTTTTTTTTTTTATTTTTTTTTTTTTAACTTGTGTATGGCCAGCTTTAGTGGCTTACTCAGTAGGCTAATATAAAATAACAGAATTAACATTGGAGAGTGTGCGTCATTTTTGTACTTTAAATTCAAAAAGAGTTAAATTATCTCCTTTAATACAGGCAGGGAGGAAACATAATGTTTTACCTGTAGAAACCAAAATCGCTTTGAAAATACATTTAATTTTAATGCATGAATAACTAGATTATCTGCTATTCAGCTTTATTAGATTATATCATCTCAACCAACTAACAGAACTGTAGGAGAACTTGTTTATATCTAGGATTTTCCTCCTAGATTTATGGCTTTTGGGGACTGGAGTGGCAGAGTATTTTCACATAAGTTTCCTGATTTATTTGCCTTTGATGGCATGTGAATCTCCCTTCACTGCTGGAGTTTTTATTAGTTTACATCCAGACCCTAAACTCCTCTTGATTATTGGAGTCCCTAGGTAATATTTGAAAGCAGAAGGTGTGCTAGCCAAACCAATATCATTTTGAGGTGGATTTACTGGTAGCTTAAACCCACTCTTTACAAATCTTTATATTAGAAATTATATACATAATCTGGAGTGTGTAGTTCCAGAATACAAGTATATAACTGCATATCCATACTGTCAGAGCTGACGATCTAGCTATCGAGTGGTTATAGAAACATGATTTCCAAAACCACACCACAGGACAAATCGGTTTCCAAAAACCAAACATTTCTGTGGAAAAAAGTTACTGTAATGGATTGACTGTTGCAGCAACCGTTATGTATAATGAATAATTCTAAATGTTAGGGCCTGTATGTGGCCATTTCTTCTCCTTGACCAGCATGTCATAACTTCATAGGTCTTTTCTCATTTAATTCAATTTGCTTAATGCTCTGGCTTTATTTCCCTAGTCACTGGCTCAAAACAAGCATACAGTGGGGATCGAAAGTTTGGCCACCCCAGCTAAAAATTTGTCATAATGTGCATAAAGAAGCCAAGGAAAGATGGAAAAATCTCCAAAAGGCATCAAATTACAGATTAGACATTCTTATAATAGGTCAACAAAACTTAGATTTTATTTCCATCATTTACACTTTCAAAATAACAGAAAACAAAAAAATGGCATCTGCAAAAGTTTGGGCACCCTGCAGAGTTAATATCTTGTACTGCCCCCTTTGGCAAGTATCACAGCTTGTAAACGCTTTTTGTAGCCAGCCAAGAGTCTTTCAATTCTTGTTTGAGGTATCTTTGCCCATTCTTCCTTACAAAAGTCTTCCAGTTCTTTGAGATTTCTGGGCTGTCTGTCACGCACTGCTCTTTTAAGGTCTATCCATAGATTTTCAATTATGTTGAGGTCAGGAGATTGTGAAGGCCATGGCAAGACCTTCAGTTTACGCCTCTTGATGTAATCCCCCGTGGATTTCGAGGTGTGTGTTTAGGATCATTATCCATTTGTAGAAGCCATCCTCTCTTTAACTTCAGCTTTTTCACAGATGGCATCAAGTTACCATCCAAAATTTGCTGAAATTTTATTGAATCCATTTTTCCTTCTACTCGTGAGATGTTCCCTGTGCCACTGGCTGCAACACAACCCCAAAACATGATTGATCCAACCCCATGCTTAACAGTTGGACAAAGGTTCTTTTCATTAAATTCTGTGCCCCTTCTTCTCCAAACGTACCTTAGCTCATTCCTGCCAAAAAGTTAAATTTTAACCTCATCGGTCCACAGAACTTGTTTCCAAAATGCATCAGGCTTGTGTCTATATGTTCATTTGCAAAGTTCAAACGATGATTTTTGTGGTGAGGACGTAGAAGAGGTTTTCTTCTGATGACTCTTCCATGAAGACCATATTTGTACAAGTATCTCTTTATAGTGGAATAATGTACCACAACTCCAGTGTCTGCCAGATCTTTCTGAGGGATCGTGCAGTCAAACGTGGGTTTTGAATTGTTTTTTCTCACAATCCTGCGAGCTGTTCTGTCTGATATTTTTCTTGGTCTTCCAGATCTTGCTTTAACTTCCACTGTTCCTGATGACTGCCATTTCTTAATTACATTCCGAACAGAGGATATTGACATCTGAAAACGCTTTGCTATCTTCTTATAGCGTTCTCCAGCTTTGTGAGCTTCAACTATTTTCAGTTTCAGTTTTCTAGACAACTGCTTAGAAGAACCCATGGTGCTGATTGTTGGGGCAAGGTCAGATGAGTCTGGGCATTTAAAACCTTTGAGATTGACATCACCTAGTCTTCCCAGACGATGATTGAGAACAATCCATGACACTGGCAGGTCTCAGCTTGGCAAAGGGGGCAGTGCATGCTATAAATTCTGCAGGGTGCCCAAACTTTTGCAGACGCCATTTTTTTGTTTTCTGTTATTTTGAAAGTGTAAATGATGGAAATAAAATCTAACTTTTGTTGACATATTATAAGAATGTCTAATCTGTAATTTGATGCCTTTTTTGGAGATTTTTCCATCTTTCCTTGGCTTCTTTATGCACATTAATACAAATTTTTAGCTGGGGTGCCCAAACTTTCGATCCCCACTGTACTTGTTACAGGTCATTGATTTAGAATGTATGAAAGCAAGAGGATCATCATGACAGCCAGGTAGTTAGCATTTTCAGAAGGGGAGGTCAGAAAACGTACCGTAACATGAAGGCTGTCATTGCTGACCCCTCCTTTTCATAATACTAATTGCCTGGCCATCATGCTGAACCTCTTGCTTTTAGATCTTTGAATTGCTGATCCAGAATCTGTAAATGGGGCATTCTGCATTGCTCTGACTTTTTTTTTTTTTTTTTCTGATTTGCATGCCTAATTTTGGGTCAGTGGCTCAACCTTTTAAAGCCAGATTGATATTATAAAGACATTTTGAAAAAACAAGCGATCAGTGTTTTCAGAAAATCAACTTCCTTTCCCATGACAGTTGTACTTTAAAAGAAAAGTATGGACTTAAAAAAAAAAACAAAAAACCCCCCAAATATTTATACTTTTTCAGGTGGATCCAGCATTGATCCGATGTTGCATCTGTCCCCGCCAGCTCTGCAGTGAGAACTCCGCTGATCGCTCAATTCTCCCCCTCTGCTCTGAGCAGAGAGCCATGACTGTCAGTCTCTGGCTCTCTGCTCTGCCCCTCCAAAGCTCACTGAAACTGAAAGGCTGGTCCAGGGTTCTGGGAGGACACCAAACATAGGGTTTCAGTTTTTTTAGAGCCTGGATCGGCTCAGTGATATCAACCAACAAAGGACTTTAGATCACAGTAGTCACAGGAGTGCAGAACGAACTGCACTCCTCTGACCTACAGAAGTATAGCTAAAATAGCTTTGACTTTACTTCTCCTTTTTTAAATCCAGAAACAGAAGGCTTATAAGATTACTTATGCCTATACAATGACAGTGCTGTCTTCATCTAACCACATCTACTATTCATGCTGATTGAAATGTGATCGGTATTGTGCTCTTGAACATAAACATGCATCATTAAATGCATGCATCTTCTGTGATAAAGACTAACCTTCTATCTTTTTAGCAACAAACCAGCTACAGTCTGGAGGTTGAAGTAAAAGATCGGGATGGAGATCCAAACGGAGGTCTCTCTGGAACAGCTAAGGTGAAAATCAAAGTGATAGATGTAAATGACAACATTCCTACACTCGAAAAGGAAGAGGTGAGACTATAACTTGAATATATTGTTTATGGGTTAACTAGAAAAGCCATGTATATCTCCAAAACTACTTTACATAGTTATTATTACAACTCTATTACATTTTTTTAATGCATATGAAATTATGATGGGCTTAGTGTGAATGGTCTTACCAATGTGTATTTTTATATATTAAAAAAAAAAATTAAGTGTATGTACATACATTTATTGTGCTTTGTATTTAGTAGTGAAACATAATAATTATGCTTTATTCTGTTTATGTAAAATAACAGTGCATGTACATTGATGGAAAGCACTGTTATTAATGCATTACTTATCAAATAATTGGTTTTGTGTTGATACTTTGTAGTTTTCTAGTAACTATACTATTTCTTGTTTCTACATTGGAAAATTAATTTTATTTTTACAAAACAAATTGGAAAATTGCGAAATGTGTTTTTTTCCATAGTGAAAAATTCACTATGCACTTCTTCCTTTTTTTTTTTTTTTTTTTTTTTTTTTTGTCCTTTTTCTCAGGCCTTGGCTGAAAAGTCAAAAGTGGGAGCCCAAAAATATGTTTACTTTAATGAGAGTAATACATACAGTAGGTCTGTCCAGTTCCTCAACTTTGTTACTAGTGGCAATGACTTGCTCACATGGTCTTGGCATTCAGATCTAAGAGACTCTACCCAATTGTGATCCTGCTGCACCTGAAAAACCACTTGGCTTGTTATGGAATGCACAATTCATTGAACAGTTTTGGAATCTACCATCTTGAATATCCTCTTCACTGGAAAAATGGGATCTAATTCCATTGTATTTTATTTCTTATTTCAGTACTCTGGCGAAGTGGAAGAAAATGTTGAGGGTGTTGAAATATTGCGTATGAAAGCATTTGATCAAGATGAAGAGTTTACAGACAACTGGTTTGCTAATTTTACTATAATATCAGGAAATGAAGGGGGCCACTTTAAGATCATAACCGATGAGGAAACAAATGAAGGCGTACTGATGCTGGTGAAGGTAAGGAAACTGAAGGTCAAATAGACATTTATACCTTAACCGTTTGCCTCTATAGCTAATGCATACCTGCACCCAGTACAGGTCCCTGCCAACATTGTAATGTGTTCCATCTTTTAATTGCTTTAAAGCTTGTGCCCTATTCCTAAAATATTACACATCTATTTTCAGGAAGCAGATTATGAAATGATGCAGAATGCACAGCTCAGTGTAGTTGTCTCAAACCGAGCAGAGTATCACAGTTCAATCATGCACCTAATTAGTGGAGCTAGCTCATCTGGTGGAATGATAGGTGGAGGTGGAGGTGGAGGCGGAGGCGGCGGCGGTGGCGGAGGAAAAGCTATTCCCATTAAAGTGAAGGTGAAGAATGTACGTGAGGGACCTGTATTTAAGCCAAAGAAGAAGCAGCTTGTTGTGGCTGAAGGAAAGAAAATAATAAACACCGTAATTGGTTCTTATCAAGCATTTGATGCCGACACTGGAAAGGTTGCAGAACATGTTAAGTAAGTCGTGTGTGTGTGTGTGTGTGTCCTTCTTTCTTCTTTTTATTTTCTGATACAGTAAACAAGTCAGCTCAATTTTATGAGAACTGGTTTAGCAAAAGTTTCAGATGCCTGGTGCTCCTCTTGGTATGCTTGCAGGTACAGTTTAAACCAGTAATAAAAAATTGCAGCAAGCCATTAACTCTGGATGAGGTTACAATATTATAATTTAAAGGGTTTGTTCACCTTTACCAAAGAAGCCTATGCAGGCAAATAGCACCTGTAGATGAGTACAAACTTTGCAGCTTTCAACAAAATTAAATAATGCCCCTGCTATAGGTGTAGGTTATTTATGTGCCTCCCAAGCCTGACTGAAAATCTCCAAAAGATGGCATTATCCCATCTTGCCTTGTTGCTAAGACCCTCCCAGTCAATTCAAACCCGTTCACATGTGCTTTCACCCCTCTGTCATGATGCTGCGACGGATGAGATAGTGGACCACATATGTGCAGAGGTTTGACAGCTCACTCCTGTGATGGTGGAAGTGAGAGGGGGAGTGCCATAGTAATGTAATAGAAACCAGGCAGGATGTGATGAAACTATCTCTGGGAGTTTTTCAATCGGGCTTCGGGAGGTACAAAAAAGGCCTATATTTGTAGCAAGGGCGTTATCCAACTTCGGTCAAAGATGCACAGTTTGTTTTTACAGGTACCCCTTGCATAGGTGATTTTATTTTTTTATTTTATTTGGAAAGGTAAACTAATCCTTTAAAACAAACTTCCCTAGCCACTACTCCTGAATAAAAAAAAATGCTTTGCTAAAGAGTAACTGGGCACTGGAAGCCGTGCCTAAAAAGTAGAAAGCAAAGGACTAGTCAGCAGTATTGACAGTGGACCCCATGCAGCTAATCTTTTACCCATTATTGATTTACCATGCCTTGTTCTGCACTATCTTTCTTTCTCTCTGTAGAGGAGCCATCTTGGTAGAGTCAGGGCTTTGTTTCCTTGTGTCAGAGCCTCCAGCAAAGAGGACAGTGAGCATCACGATAATTACATTCCCAAATCTCACTTATTAAATAGGAGTTGGAGGCAGCTGTGCCTGAGATCCCACACTACAGATATGCAACTAGGAAGCTGTAGACTTGCAAGGAGGAAGTGCATTGCTACTTTTCAGGAGGATTTCCAGACAAATACATGGTCTCTTTTGACTTCTATCTAATAAGGACTCTCCTCCTGTCTTTTTTTTTTTTTTTTTTTTTTTTTCTTTTGGATTGCTTACTAGCAGTAAAGACTAAAGGACTTTTGCCTTTGCAGATGCCTTAGTTTTCCTTCCCTGGAGCTGGGTGTTCTTTCAGCATAATCCTGTCAGACGCCTAGTGATCTGTACATTACACTAGACATATGTGGCTCTGTGCTTGTGATAAAACATAATTTATATAGTGCCTGAAGATGGATGTATTTGTATTCTCTGTGAAATTTTAATGTATAATTTATTTGCAAAGGAGTTCAAATAAAGCTGGTATGTGAACATGTATAAACTATGTCCCATATATTGTTTTATAACAGGTATGCAAAAGAATATGATCCCGATAATTGGTTTACCATTGACCCAATTACAGCTGAAATCAGACTTACAAAAGTACCTGATCGTGAGTCTGTATATGTAGTTAATGGTTCCTATGTAGCAAAAATATTGGCAATAAGTGAAGGTAAGAAGTTGATGTTGTTGGAATTATTATTGGTGATGGTGGTAGTAGTAACATATAAATGTAAATCTATATTTTATTACATATTTTACATTGTTTGCAGTCTACCTGTTTTAGTAAAGAAATGCATGGATTGCAAGGACATCTGCATAGCATCTCTGTATTCATTCTAAACCATACAAAGAACCATTAACATGTTAAAGGTTTACTTAGTAAAGTGACACAGTGAAATATGATGTGCAAAGTGCCATAATTTTCAACAACTGTTGAAAAAAAAAAATGTTCTCATTGATTAAGGGGCTCAGGAAGTCTTTCACCTTCTGGGTTATACTGCTATCTACAGGAGGATGGAATCTTACAGCTTTGAATGTCTTGAGCTCAGACATTTGAATGGAATCCACCAAATCTGTCATTGACTCAGTTCACCAAGGAGATTTTCTGGCTTCTGTAGACACCAAAGACATGTACCTACATATCCCCATTTTCACATTGTTTCCTACGTTTTGCTGTGGTGCCTTACTACCAGTTCAGTGCCCTGCCCTTTAGCCTCTCATTTGTACCTTGAGTGTTCACCAGGGGTTAAACCCCTGTATTAGGCCTGTTATGCTCCCATGAAATACTTACAGTGGGTGTAGAAAAGAAATACCCCCCTTTTTTAAAATAATCACATTTTGTTTGTTTGCAGCCTGAAATGAAGACACACAGTTTTTGTTTTATCAAGCTGCATTTACTCAGTGCAGCTTATAACATCCAAGTAAAATATATGACATCAAGATGTCAGGGGGAAAAAAAATAAATAAATAAAAAACAACAGAAAACAGAATCATTGAGTTGGAAAAAGAATCACCCCCGTGTGTCAGCATTTTGTTGAAACCCCTTTTAGCTTTGATTACAGCCTTTAGTCTGTTGGGATATGTCTCTACTAACATCTAGACTTTGCAATATTTTGCCCAGTCTTCTCATTCCACAGATTTTCAATGGGGTTTAAGTCTGGGTCCTGACTAGGCTTTGCAAGGATATTCACTTTTTTTTCTCCTTCAACCACTGTTTGGTCATATTTGCTGTGTGCTTTGGGTCATTGTTATGTTGGAAAGTAAACTTTTCTTCCCATTGACAAACTTTTTGGCGGAGGGCAGCAGATTTTCCTCAAAAATTTGACAGTATTTTGCCCCATCCATTTTTCCTTCTATGCATACAAGAGCTCCAGTCCCTGTTGCAGAGAAACATCCCCATAACAGGATATTACCACCTCCATGCTTTACTGTAGGAGTGGTGTTATTTGGATGGTGATTTGTACTGGATTACCTCCAGACATATCATGTGGCGTTGATGCCAAATAATTAAATTTTAGACTCATCTGACCATAACACCTTTTTCCATGTGTCCTTGAAATCGTCAAGGTGCATTTTGGCAAAGCTCAGTAATGACTGCATGTGGCCTTTCTTGAAGAATGGCTTTTTTTTTTTTCTTGCAACCCTCCCATACAAGCCACATTTGTGGAGAATTTGTGACATTGTTGTCACATGCACACAATGACCACTTTTTGTTTTAAATTCCTGTAGCTGCTTCAGAGCTGCTGTAGGCCTCTTGGTAGCCTCTCTGATCCAGTTTTATCCTGGCTTTTTCATCCAGTTTGTTGCGACGTCCTGATCCAGGGAGGGTCTGTTGTACCAAATACCTTCCACACCTAACAATAGATTTCACTGTGCTTCTAGGCATTGATGATAAAGCCTTTGAAATGTTTTTGTATCCATCTCCTGACTTGTGCCTGTCCACTTTATCCAGGAGATCTTTTGACAGTGCTTGGCCACCCATAGTTTGTTTGCTTGCTTCAGTTGCACTACCAAGGTCTGAAATGCTCCAGGAAAGCTCTTTTCATGCTGAGCTAAAAAAAAATGACCACAGCTCAGTCAAATGGCTTTGTGTGTCATTGAGAAAGGGATTTGCTATACCTGATGGAGTTTAAAAGTAATTTTTTAGGAGGGGGTGATCCTTTTTCCAACTCTGTGATTCTGTTTTTGAATTTTTTTTTCTTTCTGACACGGTGTTATCTTTTTAACTTGGATGTTATAAGATGCACTGAGTAAATACAGTTGGATAAAATAAAAACTGTGTCTGTCTTCATTTCAGGCTGCAGAGCAACAAAATGTGAATATTTTAAAGGGGGGGGGGTTTCTTTTCTATACCCATTGCAGATGAATTCCTGTTGAGCAGGCTCTTGTGGACAATGTGGCTTTGCCTGTTCAGATATTATGTTCAGATAGATCCTGAAACTTCAGAAATCCTCAATACAACAAGCTCCTTGTTTGGGGGTAATCAGCATTTAGGCCTGGGCATAATTCAGGCCAGAGTGTTTTTCCATTTAGAGAAAATTTCAGTCTCCTATTTAAACACTCTGGGCCAGGAGTACACAGACTCTCCACTTTTGCATTAGTCTTGGGTAGCCTCAATCAAGGTAGTCCCATTTGCCCACTTCAGCTCCAGACCTTCACAGTGTAGCATTCCTCAAGCATGGGATAAGTCGACCTGATCCTTGAACATAACACCTCAGTTGTTGCCAACAGTAAGGTTGCCCCTGGCTTGGTAGCTTTAGGAATATGGCTCTGGAATTCGAAGTCCCATCTTCCTGCCCAGTGCCATTAGTACAGTGTTAGTGCTTTTTTTTTTTTTTGATCACTGTATTGGTGTCACTGAGGATGTTAGTAACACCAGGTCAGTTTCTCCCAGTGTCAGTGTCTGCCATTACTAGTAAACAAAAAATAAATTCCAGTGTATATACACCGCCATTTTGTAAACGCTATAACTATTCACGTATTGCGATTTTATTATTTTTTTTTTTTTCTCTAGCAAAGACATGTAGTAGAATACATTTTGGCGTAAATTCATGACAAAATTCGATTTTTCAATTTTTTACTGGACATATTTAATAGCAAGAAGTCAAAAATATTGATTTCTCAAAATTGTCGGTCTTTTTTTTTTTTTTTTTTTTTTTTTTTATAGCACAAAAAATAGATGCGCAGGTGATCAAATACCACCGAAAGAAAGCTCAGCTCAATTTGTGGGGGGAAAAAAGGACATAAATTTCATTTAAGTGCAGCGTTGCCTGGCCACGCAATTGTCAAAGTAACGCAAAAAATGGCCTGGTCAGGAAGGGGGGGGGGGGGGGGTAAATCCTTAGGAGGGCAAGTGGTTAACTTGGTGCAGCCTCCCAGTCCTTTGATGTGGTGGGTGCATAATTTTTTTTTTTTTTTAGACTAATAATATTTTCAGCAAGTAAAGAAAAATACCTGTTTTTGCCAGAAATGCAATATCCTTGTCACTACTCCTTCCCATGTACTGGATATGATTGAAGGCAGGCATGTTGTCAACCATAGCTCCTTCCATAGATACAGATGTAATTTTTGAGTTTGGATATGATTTAATTATAATTTTATTTATAGTCTATTTTATCAGCATAAAAAAAAGAAAGAAAAATGGTGCTGCGCTCACACACAATAAACTATATATTATACATACTCAGAAATTAATAAATAATAATCCTCTTATGTAATCCACTATGAGATGTATATACATCTATTATTCACAATATTATGCAGTCATATACAAAGTCTACACCCGTATAAAACAAATACATATGTGAATGCATATAAAAAAGAAGAAATGGTGCAAAAAAAACACGTGTCCCTAAACCAGGTTAAAGTGACATGGATCACGAAATAACAGGTGATAGACGCTTGGCATGAATTATGCCGAAAACTGTGCGGTGAAAGAAGAACTGGCAAATGGCACAAATGGTGCCTTTTATACCTGGACAATAAGACGGTCAGGATAAATGACCTGACCGAAGACAAAACAGAGGACCAACAAAAGTCCTTCCACATAAACGTGTAACCAACACATGATAGGTGACCACACAAAAAAAAAAAAAAAAAAAAAAAAAAAATATATAATATATATATATATATATATATATATATATCTCGTGCTTAAGTCCCTGAAATTTGGAACTAAATACTATAAAATAAACATAAAAAAATGGCAACACAAAAAATTTTTTAAAAGTGACACTGTGCTGCATAAATAAAAAAGCACTACTATGCAGAAATGGCCAGAGATATCTGCCACCAATAATGATAAAAACAGAACAAAAGTCCACGTGTGTGCTCCTGCATAAAGCTGGAAATAGTAGAAAATTCAGCAATGAACATAAATGATGCAGGTGTAAGGAATAGGATCCGTCACTGGCTAGATTGACACCTCACCTTCATGTAGCGACCCCCAAGGGGCCAAAAAGCCTTCGTAATGTTAGGCACAGCTAAATGACCAATCAACAGGTACAGATCCTGGTTAGCAGTAGTGGTGGTATCCCCCTTTAGGACCTACAGGTATAACTGATCCGGGTATCTTTCATACAGGATGATGAGCTCACCCACCTGTTAATATAAGCTTGCAGCACATATCAATAATGTAAGGTTATATCTCTTTTGGATGGGGTGGAATGCGGCCTTTAACCTGAAAGTGTTGGAAATCTGTACAGCACAGTGGAGTGGACTGCTCAGAAATGGGGTTACTCACTGATACAAGGAAGAAGGCAACAGTAAGACTGGTTGATTTTTGTTAGCCTTTATAATAAGCCTACTTTTTTTTTTTTTTTTTTTTTTTTATTTCATCTATTTAAAGATCTCCCAGGAAAGACTGCAACCGGCACCATCTCTATTGATGTGGAAGATGCCAATGACAATTGTCCAGTTTTAGTAAATGCACTGCAAACTGTTTGTGAAAACTCTCCATTCATCAACCTGACTGCAGTGGATAAGGATTCCTATCCTAATGGTGCTCCGCTAAAATTTACAGTGCTAGATGAACCTACTGGCAATGCAAAGTACTGGTCAATTGGAAAAACTGATGGTAAGAAGCACATATATATTTTTTTTTTCCTTTAATACTATGTGTGATGCTACCTCATAGTATGACCTCCACACATAAATGGTATCTCTGTGTACAATACTGGATAATGGTGAGAGCTCTGGTCAGAGGCCCTAGATGCCTAGGCAGCTGTACTCCTCTACAGCTCCACACCTGAGATGGTCTGCAGACATTTTACCCTACCTGCAGCTCATTTGTGCCCTGCCCTCAATAGAAACGTTAAACCCACAATGCTACACATAACCCATTCTTGTGATGTTTAAAAAAAAATTACATTTACATGAACATGCCAATTCACAGACTGATAGTCCGATTACAAGAGACTGCCTCAAAGAACAGAGTGCCAGAGACTCTAACTGTATGGTGCAAGGAGACTACCAGTGATGGATAAAGAGTTTGCCTGATATTGCTAAATGCCTAAGACCTTGTACCATACAGAAAAAAATAGTGTTGGTGGAACATACAGTGGGGAAACAAAAGTATTTAGTCAGCCACCAATTGTGCAAGTTTTTCCACTTAAAAAGATGAGAGAGGCCTGTAATTGGCATCATAGGTAGACCTCAACTATGAGAGACAAAATGAGAAAAAAAATCCAGACAATCACATTGGCTGATATTGGAAATAATTTATTTGCAAATTATGGTGGAAAATAATTATTTGGTCAATATCAAAATTTCATCTCAATACTTTGTTATATATCCTTTGTTGGCAATGACAGAGGTCAAACGTTTCCTGCAAGTCTTCACAAGGTTGGCACATACTGTTGCTGGTATGTTGGCCCATTCCTCCATGCAGATCTTCTCTAGAGCAGTGATGTTTTGGGGCTGTCGCTGGGCAACACGGACTTTCAGCTCCCTCCAAAGGTTTTCTATGGGGTCGAGATCTGGAGACTGGCTAGGCCACTCCAGGACCTTGAAATGCTTCTTACGAAGCCACTCCTTCGTTGCCCGGGTGGTATGTTTGGGATCATTGTCATGTTGGAAGACCCAGCCACGTTTCATCTTCAATGCCCTTGCTGATGGAAGGAGGTTTGCACTCAAAATCTCACGATACATGGCCCCATTCATTCTGTCCTGTACATGGATCAGTCGTCCTGGTCTCTTTGCGGAGAAACAGCTCCAAAGCACGATGTTGCCACCCCCATGCTTCACAGTAGTTATGGTATTCTTTGGATGCAACTCAGCATTCTCTCTCCTCCAAACACGACGAGTTGTGTTTCTACCAAACAGTTCTATTTTGGTTTCATCTGACTATGACATTCCCCCAATCCTCTTCTGGATCATCCAAATGCTCTCTAGCAAACTTCAGACGGGCCCGGACATGTACTGGCTTAAGCAGGTGGGCACGTCTGGCACTGCAGGATCTGAGTCCCTGGCGGCGTAGTGTGTTACTGATGGCAGCCTTTGTTACGTTTTGTCCCAGCTCTCTGCAGGTCATTCACTAGGTTCACCCGTGTGGTCCTGGGATTTTTGCTCACCGTTCTTGTGATCATTTTGACCCCACGGGGTGAGTTCTTGCGTGGAGCCCCAGATCGAGGGAGATTATCAGTGGTCTTGTATGTCTTCCATTTTCTAATTATTGCTCCCACAGTTGATTTGTTCACACCAAGCTGCTTGCCTATTGCAGATTCAGTCTTCCCAGCCTGGTACAGGTCTACAATTTTGTTTCTGTGGTCCTTCGACAGCTCTTTGGTCTTCACCATAGTGGAGTTTGGAGTGTGACTGTTTGAGGTTGTGGACAGGTGTCTTTTTATACTGATAACAAGTTCAAACAGGTGCCATTAATACAGGTAATGAGTGCAGGACAGAGGAGCCTCTTAAAGAAGAAGGTACAGGTCTGTGAGAGCCAGAAATCTTGCTTGTTTTAGGTGACCAAATACTTATTTTCCACCATAATTTGCAAATAAATTCTTTCCAAATTAGCCAATGTGATTGTCTGTCTGGATTTTGTTTCTCATTTTGTCTCTTAGTTGAGGTCTACCTATGATGCCAATTACAGGCCTCTCTCATCTTTGTAAGTGGGAGAACTTGCACAATTGGTGGCTGACTAAATACTTTTTTTGCCCCACTGTACTTTACTGTAAATGTACAGAAAAATGGCTTATGTGATACAAAGTGGTACATATTCTTTGACACGTGTTCTGCAGTGTTTATTTGTAGTATTTTTTCTTTATCCTAGATAACAGTGCACAACTTATACCAAAAAACATTTGGATAGGATCACATCAAGTTAATATTCTAATAACGGATAATCAAGGTCTGAGCTGTCCAGAAAAGCAGGTCCTGAAATTAGCAGTGTGTGCCTGTGAGAGTGGCATTGCGGCCTGCTCGGAAAGACATTCAAGCACGTCTGTAGGCCTGGGAGGAGGTGCTGTTGCACTAATGATTCTTGCATGTTTGCTACTGTTATGTGAGTACTCAATGTAGTGTTTTTTGATTTAGAAATAACTTTTCAAAGCACTCTGTAGGCATTTTCATCTTATAATGTAGTAACGTACAGTACAGCAACCAATTGAACAATTTTTTTTTTTTTTAAACTGGAACTGGTTGCCAAATAAGTAAAAAAAAAAATTAAAATATAATATAAATATATATATATATATATATATATATATATATATATATGTATGTATGTATGTTTCATGTGTGTTTTTAACTGTTTCAACAGTGGTGCCACTTTTGCTGCTTTTGTGCTACTGCGGCTCAGCGGGGAAAGGATTTTTAACAGTTCCAGAAGATGGTCCTGAGGGAACAATTCTGATACACAACAAAGAAGGACCTGTACCTGAGGACACAGTAAGTACTAAAATGAAGTATAACTGCTTTGCTGTTTGCAGTATTTTCATAGTACCTTTTCAAAAATATGAATACAAGCAACTGACAGGCGACTATGATAGGTTGTCCAAACTCAGATGTAAAGTGACATTTGAGTGGAGCTTAAACCCTCCTGTCCTTTTACAGCTAACCATGCTGCCTTTTTTTTTTTGTTTGATCTTTAGTTGCCATGATGTTGCACGTGTGCTCAGTTATGTATGACACCAGTCATTTGATGGCTGGACAGTTGGGTTGAGAGCACAGGAAACACTGGCCATTATTGTTCAAGACATACCTCAAATGTAACTGTTTGGGGAAACTGATGGGTTTAGTTCGACTTTAAAACTGTAAATGGTGTCTAAAGGAAATTAAATTGACTTCTATTATTCATTTTTGTTTTCTTTTTTTTATAGGCCATCATGCCACTTGCAATGGGAGCCATTGGTGCTGCTGGGGCTGGTGCTGCAGCTGGTGCTGGGATGTTAAAAGGCAGTGCCTATGCAATGGAAGGTATGGATGGATATGAATACAATGCCAAGGGAATGTACAGTTCCAGTATGTATGGAATGGGTGGACGATATGAAGAACAAGGCGCTCTGATAACTGCTGGAGAAATGGCAGCTGGAGGTGCTGGAGCTGGGATGAGAGCAATTGGTGTTCTGGGCTCAGGAAGCGGAGCTGGAGCCGGAGCTCAGGTCTCCTTTGGTGCTTCAGGTGCTGGTGGGAGCCAGGCTGTTCTGAATGAAGAATTCATGAGAGGCTATTTCTATGATGTAAGTATCTCTGATTTTTACACTGTGGATGTTATGTTATCTCTATTGTGCAAGGCTCTGGACTCTATATAGAAATGGATGGATCTGTTCAAACAGAAAAAGAAATGTCATGAAGAGATTTTTACACTGTTGAAGGTGCAAGCATTATTTTGATGCAGGAGAAAATATGTAATTTTGCATTATCTTTTTAGTCAGTATGTGGAGCTTTTAGTCTTATTCATGTTGTCTGGGCACACCTAGCCTCTCTGATGGAGGAACATTTTTGACAGCATTCAATAGTTAAAGCTGAAGTTTGCTCTCCCACATGGAAGACTCATCTCCGGGACTTACCCGATCAAAGGACTTGCTTATTTAACCCTCAGTGCCGTGGAAGTTGTTATGTAGCATATGTGTGATTGTATAAATATATATATATATATATATATATATATCATGCTGCTAAACTTAAAATAAGTAAAATTGACCCCCAAACCATTATAGTTTTCTTATAAAGGCCAAATGGAGATGATTAGGCAGATCTTAAAGCATGTCTAACATACTGCAGATTACCAGTCCTTAGATGTGGCGGCTGTATTCGTTTTATTATCCTAATCATACAATGCAAGATACAGGTTTGACATTCATGGACTGCAAGTTATAGGCTGGTACCTTCATGTGATTTGGACACTGGCAATCCCCTTTTAACCCTGACCCAGTCAGTGAGTCTTCCTTTTTTTGCTACTGTCTTAAGGTGATGGACCTCTTATCCCTTACAGAGATATCACTCCTTAGTTTATTAGTTTACTAGTTTATTATTTTATCTTCAGATTCTTCAGTCATTGCTTTACTGATTTCTTGTACCAAAGATTTTATTAAGCATGGTGAAAGAAACATACAAACCATGACAAATCATTTGATACAAAGTGACATCAGACAATAGAGGACAGGGAAACATCATACAAAAACACAGAAATGCACATGTGGCCCACATCGGGGTCTAGATAACACTGTGCAAAACAGAGGGCAGAGAAGCCCACATTCACATCCTGAAATATAAAAGCTACATTCAATAAAGGCAGCAAAAAAAAAAAACCAGAGTTCCCCACCCTCCTGAGGAAATATTATCCCTGAGAATCATTGGTTTGTTGGATAACAACAATAAATGAAAAGCAATTGGTCTAATGTAAACAAACCATGTGAAAGAAGAGAAAGAGAAGAAAAAAGGGTTGAGAAGAGGGGGCCAAGGGGTCAAGAACCCCAGACTACCCCCCCCCCCCCAATCCAGAAAAGACAAAAAAGGAGGAAAAGAACCAAGAGAAGAAAGAGAGACAGGTCAGCAAAGAAAAGAAGTTCGCCTGGGAGAGAGAGAGTCGGGAGACACGATCCCCACATAGGGGGATTGAAGAGGCAAAACCCAACACACCATAGATTAGTGAGCTTTGTGGTGAAATGAGAAACTGGATAGTAGTCCACCCAAGGTTGCCAAACTGAGAGAAACTTCTCATGCTTATTCTCCAACACCGCCGTCAATTTTTCATTGATAAAGAAGCCTTGGATCCTGGACCTGACCTCAAATTGTAAAGTGGGGAACTTCCAAAAGCCGGCAATAGTCTGCTTAGTAGCCATAAAAAAAAATTGACCAGTGAGCAGAGTCTGCGAGGGTAGGCCTTGAATTGGCTTAAAAAGTAAGGCTTCAATAGGGTAATTTCTAAGGTTAATGAACGTAACTGAATAAATAAGATTAGAAACCCTAGTCCACAAGCAGAGGGCCACTGGACAGGTCCAGCATTGTACCCTCTATAGAGCAGCCCCGAAAACAGAGTCATACTCTGGTATAAATTTAGCTAATTGAGATGGGGTCTTTACTGATTTCTAATGCAATTGAGGAAGTTTACCTTACCAGCTCCCCCTGTGTCTCTGAATTAAAGGATTTCTTGTAAGGAGCCATTCCTTATGCTTCATAAGGGCTACAGTGGGGGAAAACAATTATTTGATCCCCTGCAGATTTTGTAAGTTTGCCCACTTACAAAGAAATGAAGGGTCTATAATTTTTTCTTGGATGTATTCTAAATAATAGAGACAGAATATCAACCAAAGTCCAGAAAAAACACAATACAAATGTTATACATTGTTTTGCAGTTCAGTGAGTAAAATGAGTATTTAATCCCCAAGCAAAACACGACTAGGTACTTGGTGGAGAAATCCTTGTTGGCAAGCACAGAGGTAAGATGTTTCTTGTAGTTGGCTACCAGGTTTGCACACATCTCAGGAGGGATTTTGGTCCACTCTTCTACAGATCTTCTCTAAATCCTTAAGGTTTCTTGGCTGTTGCTTGGCAACTCGAAGTTTCTGCTCGCTCCATAATGTTTAATTTTTTTTTTTTTTTTTTTTAAGGATTAAGGTCTGGAGATTGGCTAGGCCACACTGTGACCTTAATGTGCTTCTTCTAGAGCCGCTCCTTTGTTGCCTTGATGATATGTTTTTGGGTCATTGTCATGCTGGAAGACTCGTCCACGACCCTTTGCTAGTGTTCTGGCTGAAGGAAGAAGGTTCTCATCCAAGATTTAACAATACATGGCCCTGTCTATTGGCCTCTCGGCAAAGTTGGCCTGTACCTTTAGCAGAGAAACGGCCCCAAAGCATAAGGTTTTCACCTCCATGCTTGACTGTAGGGATGGCATTCTAAGGGTCATAGTCCAGCATTTTTCTTACTCCAAACACGGCGAATTGAGTTAATGCCAAAAAGCTCAATTTTAGTCTCATCTGACCACAGCACTTTCTCCCAATCTTTCTCTGAATCATTTAAATTTTCATTGCCAAACTTCAGATGGGCGTGTACATGTGCCTTCTTGAGGAGGCGGACCTTGTGGACGCTGCAGGATTTCAATCCATGGCAGGGTATTGTATTACCAATGGTTTGTTGGTGACTGTGGTCCCAACTGCCTTGAGATCGTTCACAAGCTCCTCCCATGTAGTTCTGGGCTGATCCCTCAGTTGTCTCATGGTCATCCTTACCCCATGATGTGAAATCTTGCATGCAGCTCCAGACCGAGGGTGATTGATGGTTATTTTTTATTCCATTTGCAAATAATCGTTTCAACAGTTCTCTTTCTCACCAAGCTTCTTGCTGATGGTCTTGTAGCCCATTCCAGCTTTGTGCAGGTCTACAATCTTGTCCTTGACGTCCTTTGACAGCTCTTTGGTCTTGCCCTTGTTGATGTCCAAGAAGGGAAAGGAAAGGAATCTGATCTGTGTACCACATGAGCACATAGACAGTATGTGGGAGTTAGAATTATTGTTGGCTGGTAGGGTATCAAATACTTATTTTACTCGCTGAACTGCAACTCCATCTATAACATTTGCATCATGTGTGTTTTAGTTTTTGTTTGTTTTTTGTTTTTTTCTGGACTTTTTGTTGATATCCTGTCATTTTAGAATACACCTATGATAAAAAAAATTATAGACCCTTCATTTCTTTCTAAGTGGGCAAACTTACAAAATCTGCAGGGGATCAAATAATAATTTTCCGCAATGTAAGTAGTCTTGCACCCTCCTTTCTTACTCAGGTGGTGTCAGCCTTCCATCTTGATGAGGATATTTTTTGTATTTATTATAGGTACTTGTATAGTGCCATCAATTTATGCAGTGCTTTACATATTTGTTATATATTCACATCAGTCCCTGCCCTCAGAGAGCTTACAATCTAAGGTCCCAAATTCACATTCATACATATACTAGGGCCAATTTAGATAAGAGCCAATTAAACCAACAGCATGTCTTTTGGAGTGTGGAAAGAAACACACACAGGCAAGGGGAGAACATGGAAACTCTGTGCAGGTAGTGCTGTGGTTGGGATTCGAACCGACGACCTTAGTTGTGCTATGCTGAAATGCTAGCTAACCACAGCCACTGTGCTGCCCTAATGAATTAGTAATTTCTTCTTTGTGCTCTGCCTCAAAGCACCTTAAAAAGATTGCTTTTTACTGTCTGGATGTGGTCATAGCCATCAGAGTGTACTTGAAAGCTGCAGCTTCTATCAGGAAGACAAGACTTCCTTTTTGTCCTACCCCCAAGACCTCGCAAGGAACACCCTGCTTCAAGATCCACCACTGTTAGGTGGATAAGACAACTTCTCTAAAGAGCTTATGCCCTAAAGAATAAAAATGCCTTCTGCATTAATATGTGCTTATCAAGTTGGTAGGCGTTTTTTATATGGGCATTCCAACATCAAGCTGCTGTTGCCCAGCTTTGTAAAACTGTCACCTGGTCTTCTGTAATTTTTGCAAGTCCCACCAAGTGGACATTAAATTTCCTGCAGAAGCAGCCCTCAGCCACAAGGTTCTTGCAACAATCCGAGTTGGGTCTGTTGACCATTGTTGTGTTCGGGCCTCTTGGCACAGTTCTGTTTTTTGCCTTGTTGCCCACCCTGCTCATTCTTTGCTTGGAGAAGTCCCGGGGTATATGAGTATCAAGTCTGTGTCCTGTACATTTACGGCTAAGATAAAAGGCAAATTCCTTATCTTGGGGTATAGGGTAAAGGCCATCTGTTTCTCTGTTACTCTGCATTGCTTGCTAAAACACTGAGGACTCAGAGTGGGGTAGGGTTACAGGGGATCACCCAGGGGACTTGTCTGCAAAAACCTAGCTAGTGTTCAGTCACCTGAATGCACCAGCCTAGAACTTGGGGTCTATGAATATCAAGTTTGCGCCCTGTACTGTACTTCAAGATATGTCATTTTACAAGTGAGTAAACTTTATCTATTTTATTTTTGAGGATTTTCCCTTTTTTGTTTGTTTTTCATCTGCTAATGCAAGGATTACACTTTTTAAACGTGAGAAAAAATGGTGCTGCGCTACTACCGGTGAACCTAATTAAACAATAACACATAAGATACTAATAGTGAATAATCACAAAATAAAGGATAAATAGAATACTTCACATACAACCAGTGCCAAAAAGTGCACAATAACTCAAGGAGTGAATCCACAGTGGTGTAACAAAAGAGACGCAAATGTCAGTG